TGTGCATCACTTGCTTTGTATATTCTATTATTATTATGATGATTTTATTTTATTTCAATTATTAAACTGTTTTTATCTCAACCCACAAGTTTTCTCACTTTTACTCTTCAGATTCTCTCCCCCACCCCACCGGGGCGGGGGGAGTGAGCGAGCAGCTGTGTGGTGCTCAGTTGCTGGCTGGGGTTAAACCACGACACATCCCCAAAGCAGCTCTGAAAGAGATGAAGGCAAACATTAAATAATTAATAAATAAAATTAGATTCTTTAAAACATTTCTCTGCTACAATACAACATTTCTTAATGCTGCCCATGGGAGGTCACTTGCAGATGAGGAACAGAGAACTTCTCTCCACCTTGTGTCTGACTCTTCCTTGTCACAGCACCTATGTCAGGTGCACGGGACTTCTGCAGTCATGAGCTGGGCCTCTTTGTCACCTCAGGGCTGGTAGGTATCAAGCCCATCACCTTGTGAATGACAAGCAACTCTGCTGCCCTTAGACAACCCCCTCGTCACAGACCCTTTCCCTCTTGGTGAAGCTTCAAGCGAGAAGCCAGGTTGGCTCTTCTCTTCCTCCAGGTCTAGAAACCAACAGACCTTTAAAGGGTGGTACCATATCTACCTCCCATCTGCGGTGGCCCCCCCTCTCATCTCTTGCAGGAGGACAGCAGAGCTGGCCCGTACCTCCATCTATCAGCACGGTCAATGCATGCTTCAGGTCTTCCTTCTCCTTGAAGGACGGCTGTGGCTTCTGCTAAGGGAAGACACTGGAGCGTGGTTCAAAGAACAGCTTTATCCCCCTGGCAAAGACAGAGACTGGGGTCTGTTGGACACCGCCTCCCAGGTGTGGGGCAGGCCACCTGGCTGGGCCACTGAAGGACTAGGCAACAGGCCAGTGCTGCAATACCTGAAGGATGGCTTCAAACTCTCATCCTGCTATCCCTCACTCCATCAAATTGTACTTAGGGACCATCTCTTCATGTCCTCCAAAAGGGCTTTGTTTGCCACCACGGCCAGTTGCTGTGAACAGCCGATAATGACATGCCTTCGTTGTTCTCATGTAGATGATTCTAAACAAGTAGTTTAGAAGTTACAAGCTATGAATTCTTCTGGACCAAAGCTCCCACATTCTCCAAGCTGCCTGCCAGGCAGAGGGGCATCTGTGTAAATAGGCTTGTTTACAGTCAACCAAGTGTTTGCATCTCACAGGATCCAAATTCCTCTCCAGATGACTGCCAAACAGCACCAGCATGAGCTCCACTAGCACCGGGTAGAGCAACGGGTGCCCTGCTTGAACCTGTGCTCAGCCCAGAGGACTGCAGGGTGCCTGAGGTCCATGTCCACTTGAGGGTCCAGCCTTCTGGAGAAAGGTCAAGCTCGTGGGATACATCACCTACCTCAGACGGAGCAAGACCGAGCACAGGGCTAGCATGAAAACTCAGACCCAGCTCCAGGAGCTGTGCAAGTCTTCTTGGAAGGCAGCTTAATGCAAGAAACACAGAAACCATTAGGCACCGGGGCTGAGAGTTGCCAAGAGACATGCAACTGCTTCGTTTCTTGCCCAGTGATTTCTCTCTTTCTCCTCTGCTGTCACAACTAAGAAGGAGCTAGCAGCCCATGGCACCAGCCTGGCGTTGCTCCGGGGGCAGAAATGGGTTCCTTCCTGAGGGGCTCCAAGCCAGACACCTCTGGCACCCCCAGGCTTTCCTCGGCTCCACGGCACAGCCTGGCCACAGGGCACTGTGTGGGGAAAGGGCATGGGCAAGTGCCACCCGAGGAAGCCTCCGGCAAAGCAACTGCGGAGAGAAACCACAACTCTGGCATGTGCCCTGCAAGGAGACAATTCACTGTTGGGGCTCAGAGCCCAGTCCACACCCCAGACTAGGACAGCCTGCCCGCTCTGATGAGGCAGAAAGCAGGTACTTCTCCTTTCTGGAAAGGAAACACCAGGAAAATGAGAGAGATGGTAACTCCTCCTGGTGTTTTGGGGTGACGAGCCTGGGAGACCCTGCTCCCCAAGGCAAGGGAGATGGAGCTCCCTCCTGCCAGCACCATCCCCGAGCTTCTTGGCTCCACTCTGCACACAGGTCCCTAGCACTGCGCTTGTCCAAAAGCACCCAGCAGTCCCCCTTGGCTGTCCTCCCTCAGCCAGAGCTGCCATGCAGCTCCCCTGCTCCCCTCTGCCAGCGCCTGAATTGCCACACCGGCTGGCCAGGCGCCTCCGGCCGCTGTCCCCTGCAGCTCTGGGAAAATAAACAACTGCTGTTTCACCTTTTCCTTGCAGCCAATTTGCTGCTCAGCCAGCTCTGCCCCTTTGGCAGCTCACCTGACCCTGCAAAAACCACTTGGCTTTCCACCCTGGGGTGGGACCTGAGGAAGGCAGAAGGTTCCTGCTAGCCCTCGTCTCTCCCTGACCCTCCCTCCAAGAAGGTGTGCGGACCCCTACCGAGGGGCGAAGGAAAGGACACGAGAGGCAGGGATAGCACCAGTCTTTCAGGGGCTGCCAGCTCATCCTGGCCATCCCCAACCCCAACACACAATCTCACCTGAGAAAGCCCTTTCCCGGCATACCCTGGGCTCCCAATGGCAGGGAAACTTCACAACTGATCTCCTTCCAGGACAAGACACTCATCTCCCTTGCAGTTTTGGTGCTGGAGGAACGATGACTAACGTTCAGGAGAAACTTTGAAAAGGGCAATTCCCTCCTCCTGGATCTGCACAGCAGCCCCCATCCTACCTGGAGAGCGTGGACCTGCTTCCAGGGCAATTCCCCGCTCAGCCTCAGCACCAGGGCAGTCCTGCAAGGAGCTGGGGATGAAGCATTTCAAAATGAGCTTGGACAACAGCCATGCCAGCAGTGCTGAGGCTGGACCACCTGCAAGCCAGAGAGGGGCCAAGAGCACTGTGAACAGAACAGGCATTTACAAACATCTCCCCAAAGACCCCTGCACTGCAAGAGGAGCTGTGGAAATGTCTTTGGGTCCTTCCTGCTCATTGCTGGCTGGGCATCAATGAGAGCTTCCAGGGCATGTTTTTTTCCACTTATCTTGGAATTGGGAGGCAGGGGAGTTGGAAGTGTTTAAATTTATGATGTGTGCACAGCTCCAGTGCCTCTGCTCTCCTCCAGGTAGGTATTACTCTATTCCTGGTTTTATGTAGCGTCCTTTTAAATTACTGCTTTGGATATCAACTATGTGTCTGCAGGGCTGCATTCACTCACACACATACTTATGTCCCCAGGACCCAAAAGGCAGGTCCTGAGCTTCGGCAATGAGCTTACACCGCTAGAACAAGCCTTGAACATATCCGTTAGCCAGTGCTGACTGCACCTTACCACCGCAAGGATCAAGGATTCAAAACCACAGTCAGTAACATCACTAGGTGGGCGCAGGGTGCAGGAGACGATTATCTGAATGCAGCAAGAGGTTCCACCATAGGGGCATTTAAACTCAACAGCATCAGTTACTTGCAATCCAGTAATGAATGTTGTCTGTTCTGTATGGGTTGATCTGCACAGTTGGAGTCTGCTCTTTGTTGTGTGAGTATTGGAGAAGTTTTCCTTTCAGAGCCAAGTAAACAAAACCCCACACAGGGTGGGGAGTTGGTACCGTGCCACACTGGCAGCAGCCAGCTCACCTGAGAGCTGAGGACTCGCCATGTCCTCTCAGAGTGGGAACAGTCGGGTTAGCATCCTATCTCAAGATCCAGGCATTTGCTGCCATGTCAATACATCCTGACAATGCACACGTTTTATGCTAAGCCGTTATTTCATCATCTCTGTGAGGTATTAATTGTTTTTAGTCCCACTTAGCTGATTTCATGGTATCTGGCTGAAAGCACGTGCTAAGGGGTTATGCTGATGCTTCCTTGCATTTTTGTTTTAAGGGTGGGGAGGCCTTTAAGTCCTTGTGGTGTGTTGTCTTCTGCTTCACGCAGTGTCCCACCCTGCATCCCCAAAGCTATGATGTCTCCTCCAAGGTAATGGGGAACTCGTCCCTCTGTGTTCTCTGGCACAAAGAACTGGGCTCCCAGCTCAGCATCGTAACAGCTCCCAACTGAGCACACCACAAAATCTCCAGGCTCGTCTGATGCTTCAGATGCTTGCTGGTGCTTGCTTGGGAGGAACCACAGCCTCTGAAGCTCGCCAAAGAGCTTCTGGATATGGGGGAAGGAAAGGGATCCATTTCTGAGGCCCAAGTTTGACACCATAGCGTGTACTCTGAAAGCCAAGCAAACCCCAGTGGATATCCCAAAGCCACTAGCTACTCCAGAAAGAAAAAGATGTATTAAAAGTCAGAGTTTTAAAAGGAAAAAGAAGGCCTTTGGGGCTGGTGTCCTGTCTCACAGCATCCTTTGCATGGCATCTGCAGGGAGGGTTGTGATGCTGTGGACCCCAGTGCTCCTGTACAGTTGTGAAACATCACTTCTGGCTGAACTCCAGAGAACTTCTCTTTTGGGGAAAAAAAAGTCAAAGCATCATTTTCTTGACAACTGCAAAACTGTGATTTGTTCTAAATCTCATTTCAAAACTGCAATTTGTTCTAAATCTTCTTTCTCACCCTCGCAAATGTTTGGGGTTTCTTTGGCCCAAGATGGAAGCAGTCAGTTAAGACAACTCCACCAGTCCTCCTTCGCCCCAGCTCCATGAGTGACCTCGCTCCCTATGAACAGGGCTGGGTGCACTAAGGGACTTGAGAAGGTCAGGGCAGACAGGGTTACTGCCCAGCTCTGCCTCCTGCAGTACCCCAGTAAATCCCAGTTGCCCTAAGGGAGTATTTTGGCTGGTATGTTGAGAAGACAGACATTGGATGAGGGATAAATAGGCTGCTGAGAAGGTTTGTCTGTAGCGGCATGATCTGGACAATGCCACCAACATTGAGGCCCTAGATGATGGCCTTTACTGACAGCTTTCTTCTACGTTTGCTGTGTGTGCAAGTGTGCCTTTGAAAAGTGGAAGTGGGGAGGCTCTAAACTCCACTTCTCTACCAGCTTGAGTGCGGCATCACATTGGAACCATGCCCACTAGGAGCTGGGAGAGGCACTTTCTCGGCAGGGCGATGGGAAACAGTGTGTGGAGACCCCCAGCTTCATGAGGAAGACCGACTCCTGAACTGGAAACATCCCACTGCTCAGGACGAGGTGGTAGGGCCTGGGAAGTGCTAGCAAGGAAACCACAAACTCACTGCAGTGATGGTGCCTGGAGCGTTCATCAGAGAGCCACGGAGGGCCAACAGGACAAATCTGATTATACTTCAATGTTCCTGGTGCATGAGGTAGCCCCACGGGGAGCTTGGCTGCAGTGAGCCATGGGGCACAAAGGTGCCTTCCTCACACCTCCCCAGCCATGATGAATCATGACAGCTCTGACCAGGAGCTGTGGCAGAGCTACATCAGTCCTCCAGCACCAGTTGTCTCAAAGCATCCACCAGGCTCAACAAATTATCTCAAACCATCCAACAGGCTCAGTGATAAAGAGCCTGAAGAAATGTTTTTACCAGCACCAGACCACAGTCCAGCCAGGGAGAGGTCTCCACAGGGCAGCCACCCATCAAATTCCACTCGTACAGGCAGGAAGCTGAAAGACACGCTCAACCGCAAGCCGTTTTCACAAAATAAAGTGTGTCACCTTTGCGTCCCTAGCTGCCCTGGGCCAGTAGCAGAGCAAGGACCTGGGGACACGCGCTGACTGCAGGAAACTTTCTCCACACACGTGTCAAGTTAATGCCCTACGCTCCCACTGAGACAACACTGCAGACAGAAAAACTGGAGGAAAGAAACCCCAAAACATCAGTAGCTTTGGGCTGGCATATGGGTACCATCCAGAGGTTAAAGTGGTGAGAAACGATGGGTGTGATGATGGGTTTGCATAGCTCTCCACAGGTTGTCTGAACGCTGCAGAAGGCCATTTGGACCCATGAACACATGAAGGACATTTCAAAGGATTGTAAAGGATCTAGTCCATGATTTGGGAATGGCTGACACGCTCACATGCTTTTTAAGGAAAGGGGGTTTAAAGTAGTGGAAACAAAACACCAGCCTGCAAGAAGCTGCATCGGGGAGGAGCTGGAGTCTTAACCTCAAAAACCAGATGTTACAAAAGGCCAGAAAGTTCCCCCAGCCTGGAGGAGGCACAGCAGTTTGTCTGGAGCGAGGCGCACTCACACCTGGAAGTTTCTAGAGCAAAGGCTCCTCTCCACACGGTGTGGAAAGCACTGCCTTCTCCCACCCCGTTCTTCTGTGGGAACTCGCAATGGCTGGATTGCTCTTGAACATGTTAGTGACCCCACTTGGTGTGATCCAGCAGCTTTTGGAGGCTGTAAATTAATGGCAGGATAAATCAGGTATTCTGGCACAGGAGCGGGGTGCATCTCTATCAGGCAGGGCTGGGAAACCCAGAAGTGCTGCAGACGATGCCCGCCAGTGCTTTCTAAAGCACACTTTCCAAAAACGTGCCTTGAGGGGATGGATTCACAGCCCACAAACCCCAGCATGTCCATAAGCCCAGAAAGAAGAGCAAGACTGCAGAGGCTGTCAGCTGGCTTGTTGCACGGCTGTACAAGTCAAGGACCTGGAGTCACGGCTGTAGGAACAGCACCCCAGGACCATCCGGGCAGTCAGCCGCAGCTCTGGAGACACCAGCAAGGCAGTATGAGAACAACAGGAATCGTACAGCAAAAACCACAGGAGTTTTAGCCCTCATCCTAATAAAAGGACGAGCCAGCTGTCCCACCAGGAGCCAGAGCCAGCTGTCCCATCGAGCCAGCTGTGCCCGTCCTCCTGGGCACCCAGGGGATGGAGCACCTTCCCAGCCAACACCGTGGGCATGGGAGGAGGGAAGGGAAGCAGGAGGTCCAGCCAGGCATCGCACTGCTTCGACTAGAGGCAAACAAGCAAGTTGGATACCGGGAGGCAGGCTGTTGTAAAGCGGGGTGAATGTAGCCCTGGTCCATCTGGAGATAGGTCTGCTGGTGTTGGACGGTCACATTTAGGGGTTGCATAACCTTTGCTTACTACTGTACGTGATACTGTGCTTTAATCCTTACTCCTCCTGAGGAGGCAAGGAGCAGAGAGCCCTGGTTTTATAAATCGTAGTCACCGAAAACCAGCAAGATTAGAATTTGGTGGCCATTTGTTGCTGGTTTTCAATAGAACAGCAGTCAGCACTTACTGGATTATGTGGGGAGCTGAAGAACCATGCTCCCCTCTAACTTCATTAGGGACCAAGAACTGGCAAGGATCCCCTTCTCTGCAGGTGATGACACAGCAGAGTCCTCCATGGTCAGAAAGAGAAAGAACTGATGAAGAGGAACCCAACTTGCTGAGAAAAGGGTAGCAGGGAGACTGGCTGGCCAGTCAAGGGAGAAGAGAAAGCATGCTGCATAATTGGAACAAGCCATCATGAAAACAATCCCGAACTTAATTCACTTGGATGGGACTTCATGTGGTGCTTAGAAGAATTATCACTTGATCTTTGCAGACACAAGAAGCAAGAACTCGTTCTGCCATTGTGCAGTCACCGATTCCCCTTTTTTTCCCCCTTTTTGTTTTGAAGACCTAGCCAAAGAGGCGTCTTTACAGCTTGCCATGGGAACTGCAGTTGTGGACAAGGAACGGCTGATATGCCCTCGGGATGTCAGCCTCTAGCAGGTGGTCAGAAGACACAAACCCTGTACCCAGGGACAGCGTGGATCCAGCTGCGCCCCACTCCTGAACACCTGGAAGCCAGGTTCCCTGGTGGGGTGGCATCGCAGGCAGAGTGACGTCCCAGTAGCCCCACGGGGGAAATCCTGCCTCGGTGCTCACCCAAAACAGATCATCAAAGGAACCGGAGTGACTTTTTTTGAGAGAAGCAGTTACAACTGGAGGGCTGCAGTTAACCATGGCCAAGCTTTTCCACTGCTATCTTACAGTTGCTTGATGTTCTGAAAGCTATTTAGAAAAATGACTTTAACTGTCCTGTGCCAAACTGGGTGAGGGTGAAAAGAAAAAAAGAAATTTGGCAGACATGTTATTCATTCAGCATGTAGTTTGGATGATGTCCAGTGACTAACACAGGAGTTTTAACTGATCTGGGAGACTAAAAACCATTCACAAATAATTTGATTTAGGGTCACTGTGATTTCTTTTTATCAATAATTTTCATTGAGAAGTATTTTTTTAATTAGGATCGACAGATCTAATAGCAACTCTATTGTGTGCACAGTTCATCATTCCCATCTTCATAAATGACTTACATATGTGGTGTGCTAGTTCCTTGTTCACTGCACACGACAGGGCTTGTTCACGGGGCAACCAACGCCTCGCAGACAGTGCACAAGCCATGCTGAACTCCTCTCTCCAAAGGCATGCTCCGAAGAAGAACCAGACGGAAAGCAAAGGAAGCTTTCACCATCCTGTCACATGCTCCGGTCCGGGGGCTAGTCTAAGCCTTTGCACAACTTCAGACATCCCCACGCGGCTGTAACTGCCTTCTAATTGCTCCGGCAACTTTGCTTTATTGCTCCAAGTCCCATCACGGCTCAGGAAATACTCTGAACCAGAATATGCTCCCTTTTCCGTGGTGGGAGGGCTGAACAAGGGCTGGACCAAGGCAAAGATCTGACACACCCTGGCAAAAAGCTGCGTCCAACAGCAAGTCTAAACTCAGTCACCCCCTAATCCGGTGGATCGCCCAACTAAGCCTGAATAGATCCGGGAAGACTGCAGGAGAATTTGGACGGCGGATGGGAGAAGAATGGCTTGGCGACTCGAATGCATCTTTCTTGGCAACATCCTCCATGCGTGACAGCCTTTTCTTTGACTTGCACAATAACAATTGCATCTCAGCCACTTCTGTTACAAATCTTATCTGTTGTTTGAACGGCTCTCAGATTCCCTCCTGCGATTATAAATGTTCGTACAAGTTCTTGGAGTCAGCAGAGTTGTTGTTTTGTAGCTGAGTAACAGGCTTGGGCTCCAAACTTTTGTGCTGCTCGCTGTAATGATCAGATACGTTCTTAAAAGCCCTCCGAATTGGATTTTGAAACAAAAGTCCCATTGATCTTAAGCCTGAAATCCCAGCCTTGACTGAAAAACTTTGTCTTTCAGAGGAACTGAAACTGGTGCAATAAAGGACAACTACAACAGTCAAAGAAAGGATTTGTCTGATGAGAGGAAACTACCAAAACTTGGTCTTATTTAGACTACCAATACAGGGGCCGAAGGGCATATAATTGCTACTGAAAGACACATGGAAGGGGAGAAAACATGAGAAAACCTTGTGAAAGCTCCAAGCTGAAAGTTGTGGAGCTGTAAAGAAGCCATTGATATATTCAGGCTGGGGATGAAAAGATTTCTGATTTTCAGAGCGAAGAGGTCTGGGACGGATGTCAGCAGAACGCACAGACGAAGCCAACGTGAAGCCTGATAAACATATGGGACATATTGATACGACTGCAACAGCAAGGGAGGGCAGTGTGTGACCCAGGAGGTCCCTGCAAGATCCCCATCCAGTCTTTGGCCATCAGTACCTGGATGAGGTATGAAGAGAGTCCCCTGGCTCCTGCATTTGTCCATCGCCTCTGTCTGTCCTGTTTTGCACCCTGCTTTGTTCAAGCAGTCATCCCAGGCTTGCCTTGGCCACGTTACCTTGTTTTTAGCGCTGGACAGACCGATGCAGGTCCGTGCGGCAGAGCCACGGCCAGCCGCCTGGGAGGGGCTGCTATGGTAGAGCTCCTATTGAAAAAGATTACCTACTGGGAAGAAAAAACGTATTATTTGCTTTGTTCTGTTTACTGAAATAAGCAAATGCCTGTATTCAAGCCAAATTCAGACTCAAAACTAGAGTATTAGGTAGTTGCTGTGACTAGCAACACAGAATGACGCGGGGCAAGCAGGGTCCCACCACCACCATCCCACCAAAGAAGAAACGTTGCCAGGTCTGTTCCCGGGATCACCGGTATCCACCTGGAGTGCATCCACTCTGAAAGCAGTAACGCTGGCCTGCGCTGGGGAGGAAGAATAACCACTGCTGCTGGCTGCACTTGATCAGCGTCATCACCACCAGCAATTCTCACCCCACCATGGTCAGAGACAGACGGGCCACGTGCTTCCCGGGCGCCAGGCTTTCACCAAATGCATCTCCTCAGCAGTTATATATTTACCAGCTCTCCCACATGAACAAAGCGGTGGTTTAAACTCCATAAGGATACCTGCTGGCGTTAGCAAGAGGCATTATCGTTAGGCCTCACTTAAAATTGTTTAATGTCATTTGTCTTCAGGATGAAAAGAGCAAATTGAGAGAGAGGGACTGCCAGAGCATCAGCCCTCAGCCTGCCACAGGGGTGCAGCACGGCGATGCTGGCTAGGCTGCGCAGTTCCCATGCCGGGGACCCACCGGGAGAGGTCTCGCGTTGGGGCGGGCTGAAAATCAAACGTAGCATCCACGTAGCACCGCGTGTCCCAGGCGCTCAGGGCATTTCTGCAAGCTGACATGCAGCTGCTGACAGCTTGCGAGCTGCAGCTCACCACAGCTCCGAAACATCGCTTCTGTATTAAAAGGGAAACTGTTTTCCTCTCTTCTTTTTTTTTGTTGTTACCCATGGAGTCACTAGTAACAAAGGCTTTAATCATAACGATGGGGCAGGCTGGGGGTTCCTCCCATGATATCTAAGCGACATCCAAGACACGCAGATGTCTTCGCAATTTAATCTCTTTCTCCTCGAAGAACACATACGTTATTTCCTCCAGCGCAGAGCACATCCCGTGGGCCACCACGAAATCTGCCTCGTAGCACGACTGCTTTGCGTACCACACTCGCAGTTTTTTTGGGATGCTCAAAGTAGCATTGGTGCCCTCCACGCAAGTCAGCACTCGCTGTCCTGGAAGCAGCAGGCAGGGAAGCAGGCAGGGAAGGGACTTTTAGCCAAACCCAGCGTGCCAGTTTGCTTCCTGGCCCGCAGCACCGGGAGAAAGCATCCTCACTTGGGCTGGAGCCGGCTTGGGATTCGGGATTCAGGGTCTGGTAACGAGGACTGGAAGCAAAGGGATCTCCTCGAAAGCCCACCAAAAAGCGGCAGTTCGATAAAAAGCAAACCGCTCACCTGCGAGGGGGATGCTCGGAGGGCAGCCTGCCCACCCCCTGCCTGCAGCTCTGCCCGCCGGCAGCTGCCCCTTCCACACCGCTCCCCGTCCCCGCTCCGCTCCCGGGGGCGTCC